AAATCTGTTCACAGTGCTGAGTGACATGAACCGCTTGGCCTCACTAAACAATTTAGAGACCAAATGTAAGCTCATTACCAGTATTGCCATTAGCTTGTCTTCAGTGTGTGTTGAGTACTGGTCCATAGGGTGTCTTTCTGTCATGCAGAGGCCCAATAATCCACAGCCAGCAAAGATTAAAGGCACTGTACATCTGCTAATTAGCCTTAATTGCAAATGAAACCTGGGAGGCATCATTCATTACGACAGCATTTACACTGGAGCTCAGTTCAGGTGTTTCAGCCTGTGACAAACAGCACAGTGTGGACATGCTCTCCTTTTTTCCTCTGCTTTTCACATTTTAGTTCCAATTTCCTTTGGTGAAATGTAGCATTAGATTAGATTTGACTGGGAGGTTCCTGGGAGATGGTCTTTTCCCAATATCCAGGTAAAAGGTCATAATGTGAAAATAAATAAATAAATAAAATATTTCATAGTTAAGCTAAGCACTGGAGAAATATGCAGCTTTCATAACTGCATAATGCAACTGTCTTTCCAATTTCTCTGCAAAGCCCATAGAAAACATTGGCACCCATCTGACCTCCTGCCTTACTGTATATGAAGTAAAAAATGAAGTTATATGTGGAGGGGAGCAGCAGTAGACAGACAGTAGTCATGATCAAAAGACACTGAACATGAGCATCAAATTCTTTTTCTTTTTGCTTTGTCTGATGAAATATGAGACAGATAAGGGGATACTATTAACACTAGCAAGCTGTCTTCATGTTGATGGACAGCTTTTGATATTGGTGGTTCTGAACAAAATGAATCATTTTATCTTTTTGGGAGACAGAAGCATGGGCTTTAGAAACCATTATGATGTCTCCTGTGTTACATTTTCATTACAGTCATTTAGCTGTTGTGCTCCTTCTGACCAACTTACTGTGAGTGCAGCAATGAAACAGGCTTCCATTCCTACATCACCAGTATCAGTGCCTTGTGTGCCAACACGAGGAGCTGTGTAGGAGGAGTGACATGGAGGGTGATGACTGGGCAAGCTGAAGCTTTTTGGATGTATCTTTTTCTGTTGAAGTTACCTTAATGGTCCAATAGAGGATACAAGAGGTTCCCTCTTAGGCTTTAATGCCTTTGTTGAAATGCTAACATTTATGCTTGGATTAGAAAAATATATAAGGACACAAATTCTAAATAACACTGTGTGTGTTATCACGATTGAATCACTCCACAACAAGAGAAAGCAATAAAAATCAGTGAGAGTGAGGCCAAGTCAAGGATCACAACCCCTTCAAAGTCCATATCCTGCAGCTTCAAGTGCTTATTTTCAGCAGAGGTGGCTGGACCTGCTGTGTGGGTGCCGCTCACTGTCTCTGGTAATCTCTTCTTCCGTTCCTCTGTTTGCTTTTCTTCTCAGTTCTTATATGAATGCAGCTTAATGTGCACAAAAATGCATGTGCACACTCTCAGAAAGGAGACCATCTGCTGCAAGATGAATCAGTGCATAAATCATTCTTGAGTCACCTCCTCCCTTTTTTGGAAAAGTCATTAATATTAAATAGACAGAGGAAAAGGAAGAAAGAAAGGAGGAGTCATGTGAATTACACCATTGTAGTAGGTGTGGCTGATGTGCTTTTGGGTGATACTGACATTTTGCCACAGAAGAGGATTCACACCGCTGAAGAATATTGTGCTGTTTCCTTTTTCCCTGTCATGCCAAGTTGAAAGGCCCTTCAAATATTCATAACAATTCCCATCAATAAAGAAATGTTGCAGTCATCTTCTCATCGCCACACAAAGGGCTCTAATAGCCATGTGACTGAAAGACAAAAAGGTTTGTGGTGGCATGAGGGTGGGCTGGCAGTTGTCTGAAATGATTCCACCTCTCCCACAATATTCAGGGGCAAATGGTTACCGCACTCATGTGGCTAATGATTGTCAAGTTCCATTCTCTCTCTTACACTACTTGTATTGAATTTTGCAAATGCATTCCTGAGTTTGTGTTGTGTCCCCTGGGTAAACATCTCTGACTGAGAAAGAGTGATTTAGTGATTAAAGGACAAAGTCAGAACTTGGATCAGCACCACTCAATCAATAGCACTTATAAGTCACCACAGTAAAAAGCTCTTGTGGCTATTTGATTTAAGCTGCTGATCTGACAGTGTGAATTTGTATGAAGCAGCAGGTGTAATGTTTTAAAACATACCATTCATTCCTAAAGAAAAAAGCCAGCCCTCTCAAAAAAGTTGTTGCAAAAGAAAGAATCTTAAGCTGCTGCAAAAAGCAACACAGCAGTGATGGCGATATTTCATTTTCAAACATTGAGGCTATTATTACAACATTAATGCAGCTACAGGCGTGAATTTGCAATTACCCTTTAGGTAATTGAAGTCTTAAATGTTTTCATTCTGAAGCAAAAATGGAATTTTCTAGTGAACATAATCATGGTGCAGAAAATTAGACATTAATACCAGGATATCAGACTGGAATTAAATTTCACAAAAAAGTATAAAGTTAGATGGTTGCGCTGTCTGGATTGTGCCTGTCAAACCCTAATGAAAGGCCATAAAGAATCCACCTAAGAGAATCTGGCTCTTACATGAATGAATTCAGCTGCTCCTCTTTGCACATGTAGATTTTCAATGAAAACTACTGAAAGCAAGTATTAACATCAGACAGAAAAGAAAAGAGAGAATTTGATTAAAAACAGAGTAGACTGAGAAAGAATCCTGCATTTGCATGTGCTTGAGTGTGCAGGCGCTATTGTCACACAGGAAGCATGCTGAGGATCCCATGTGGAAGTAACTTGTGCAAAGCCATGTTTCATTTTTCATAGTCATGGCAAAACCTAAACCTATAACAGATCTGATATAGAGGATACTGTTTTAGAACTCTGGGCTTATTTTTATTTTTTTTAATTGTCATTGTAACATTGGCACACATACAACGCAGTTTTGTTTGGAGCCGAGGGCCCCGGGCCACTGTGTGCATACGTGCCGCCATCACGGGTAACTTGGGGGGGTTCAGTGTCTTGCCCAAGGACACTTCGACATGTGGACTGCAGGCACCGAGATTAGAACTTTCAACCTGGGTAGAGACGACTGCTCTACCCAGCGCACCACTGTTACTCCAGTAGCATGCACTTTCTATGACACTGCAGCTAATCTAAATGCTCTATCTTATTCCACCACATTATCTGTTAAAGAACTGCATCTGTTCTCAGCTGTGGTGCGTTAATGCCTAGTGCACATGATAAATTGCCACCCCCTGCGAGGAGTAGATGGATTACAGTAGCTTCATGGGGAGAAAATCACCTACATTAGGAAAACAAAAGGCCACTGTCATAGAGAATGAACCCAGCCCCCTGCAAAAACAGAGCTAATTCTTGAGGGAGCTACAGTACATGAGACAGCATGATGAGATGATGACTCTCTGTTCCCATAAGAAGAGAAATGAATTCTCATAACAAATGTGTCTTGCTAAGTTTGGAGTACATGGTAAAATCAAAACTGCATCTGGTGTAACTGGGGGTTTGCAGTCTACAGGGCCTGGAGCAACAATACAATCAAATTAGAAATACACTATAAAAAGCTCATTTACATTTAAATACTTAAACCAATTATTATATAAAGAACAAAACTGCCATATGTCATTGGAGGCAAGCACAGGAAGAGTAGAGGTAAAAGATAAATTTAGAATAAGAAAAATGAATGTATAGAAATGTAATGACTGTGATAAAACGGCATGGAAACTATGAGAAACTGTGTCAAGCTTACTTAATTTTTAATGATGAATTCAAAGGCAATTTGATTAAAACCTGTAATGGGTAATATCACATTTTTAATTATCTAAAATGATGCAAACTCTTTAACACGTCACAGCCCCAAGGTTTTGATGTGTATTCTTTAACATAGCTGCTTTTTGACTTGGAATACTTGACCACACCAATTTTATATTTTCCTCACATGAATAGATACTGTCACCAGAATTTGAAAACGACTGTGGTCGGGGCACTTAAATCTGTACAGCCCAAGGTTGTAATTAGGCTGAGATAAATGTGTCTGCAGGGCTGCTTGAAGATGCAGTGATTAGCACTGTTGCTGCGCAACAACATTTAAGGGTCAAACCTTCTGGCCGACTGGGGCCTTTCTGTGTGGAGTTCGTAGGTTCTCCCTGTGCCTGCATGGGTTGTCTCTGGGTACTCCAGCTTCCTCCCACAGACCAGTAATATGCAGGCTAGGTTGACTACAGCCCCAGCTTGTGACTCTTATGTATTGCATACACTCATTTCTTGGGAATGAGTCTGAAACTTCCCAAATGTTTTAACTCTGTACTTTAACCCTCGTTTTTTTGTGAAAGTTGAGCATATTATTGAAACCTATTATTATTATTATTGTTGTTATTGCTACTATTATTATTATTATTATTGATGTTGTTGTTGTTATTACTATTATTGAAAATTGTTTAAATAATACATTCATGAAGTTGAGCCACTTTCACACAAAGCCAGAGTGATTTCCTGTCGCCATCTTTGCTTAACTGATAAGAAACTGTATGACCTGGGAAACTGGTTAAAGCTGGTTATATTTTTCACATTAGAAGAGTCTATGAGAATTTGGGAAATACCGTCAGAATTTGAGTGTTATGAAACAACAGAAAGTGGTATAGATAATGGATGGGTGAAGGGATGAATGTGTTGGCACATCAAAATTATTCAGCTTTAAACTTTTTGGTGAAGAGCTTGGAGGCTAAGGGTTGAATTATGAAATGAAAACAAATCCTACAGTGCAGTATATTACACAGGGCCCTATATGAACAGATGTGTGTCTAAGTCTTCGTTTAAATATGCACAAGCGCACTGTTTCATATCCATGCATACTGTATGTGTTTTTTGTTGTGAGGCAGTGTTGTTCCTATGTGTGCGTGATTGTGGTTGTGCTGTCTGAGCAGTAAAGCCTGTGTTATGAGACAGCAGCCCTCCAGCTCTCAGTTCTGTGTGTATACAGTCAGAGCATCGGGACAGACTGAGATTGCCACCACCTGAGGCTCAGCTGGGAGAATGAGAGTTGAGAAAAAAGAAGAGAGAAGATGCAGTATTGGAGAACAGGTAAGTGGAGGGGGCGAAAGAGGAGTATATAATTACAGTGCAGAGCAGAAGCTCATCTTGAGGTACTCCAAGACCCCTCTTCCTCTCTTTCAGCAGAGCACACTAACACACAAGACACACGCACACAGACCGTCTCGCCATTAGCCCCTCTGCTCCTCTTATGTCTTCATTTTGGAGAAAACAATCCATCAGACAAAGGTCAGTGCATCCACAGCTTTATCACTCCAAGAACAAAAACACATACAAACATACAGTACATGTATTTAAGAGGGAGCAGGAAGAAATTCCAACCAAATAAACTTTTTAAAAGGCTGATTTACATAGAGCATACAGTATGATACTTATATACACTGTGTTTGTTAGATATATACTGCACAATCATGTCCTTGTGGCCAGCGGCTTAAGAAGTAATGACACTTAGTAGCTAGACACACATAGCAAAATGTATAACTATTCCAAAGCCTCTATTAATTACTGAAGAAAAAAACTTTTTAAAACTGTCATTAAATTCAAACAGCACTTCTGTTGTATTCTTACTGTACACTTTACCTTTCCTGTTTCAACATTAAACTTAACATAAAATTAACAACACTGTATTATACTTTACTGTAGTATAATACAGTACACCCTGGGCCAAGAGATTGGCCCATTCATGTGTATCTATACTATACCTTTCTTCAAAATGCATTTATGTCTTCTACAGTTGTCAAGTCTTAAAAATGCTTTGTCATGTCATGTATTTCAAATCTGCTAGTTGCAAAATATGAGTTAGTTTCAGAAGCAAAGGAAAATGTGATCTTGCACAGTTCACCAAATGAAAATTGTATCTAAAATGTTTAGATATTGTCCCTTGTTGGCAAAAGTATCTTATTATATTGTATAATGCTACTAGGAGGCATAAAATTTTGCAACTTTCTAAAAGTTGTGCAGGGTTCAGGAAAAACCGTGTTTTGCTGAGGGTAGCATAATTGCTGATGTAGAAAGAAAGTCACTTTCGGCTTTTCCTGTTTTAGGGGTCGCCACAGCGAATCGTCACACTGATAACTCGCATGTTGACATTTGGCACGTGTTTTACGCTGGATGCCCTTCCTGACACAACCCTGATTTGAATCCGGGCCACAGCAGCGAGAGCGCTGCGCCTTAACCACTAGCCTACCAGAGTCGGCTATGATGTAGAAGATTCTGTAATTTTTTTTGTTTTTGTTTCTACATGAAAATGTGTTTATAGTTACTTTTTTGTCACACTGTAAAAGGTTTTAAAAATCTAACATCATGCATAATGGACTATATGAAAAGAAAGAGTTTACATAGGGAATATTATTACCGAGCTTTCTCAAGTTGAAAAAAACACCTATTCTTTGTATGTAAATTGGATAGCTGAATAAAGAAGACAAGTACAGTTTCCAAATGTCACTTCATTGAGCTGCAGTGCACCAGAAACCAATAAATAATTCTGAAAATGAAAGAAAGCAGCCTGAAAAGATCATGCCATTTTTTATTGTGAGTATCCAAAGCAATATTTTATTGTTATTAAAATCTCCTGGTCCATAGACAGTACCTCATATCCCACAGAAGAGCTGTTTTAATATCCTTATAATTCAATATCCGCAGGAGGATTCATTTTTTTCTCTCTCAGTCTGGAGCAGATCCCTGCAACTTACATTCACTGACAGCAAATGTAGATGTAGTGCATTAAGTGACACTCCTGAATAATAATTTCATGGCGATGATATGAGGGTCATTTTTTTCTTTTTTATTTTTTTTTAACTCACAGAGGTCGTTAATGATTTATATTTGCAGCTGAATCTCTGTTGAAAAATCGGTTTTGCATAATAGTTTTAAGAGTTCAACTCTTGCATAGTTACATAACAGAGAGAAGGTCAACCTGTTTGATTTAATGGGATTTTAATTCCTACAGTGCTGAAGACTGTTGACATTAGGTGTATTTACATACCACCTGCTTTTGAACATTGACCCTGGAGCATGGCTGTCCAGGCTCAGCCTGTGGTTTAGAATGTTAGGTTATTAATATGTCTGTGTGTTTGATAGTCTGTGCATGTGTTTAGGCGTGGAGACTTTTAGATTTTGGCTTAATTGTTGGATCAGAGCAGCAACTGTGAGTGAGCAGTTGCAAAGGTTTTTAGGTATTTCTGGCTATTATTCTCTGTTGTCAACTTCACTGCCCTCACCTTCATTGTCTAAAATGATCCATGGCTCATTACCCCAACTGTGAGTGTGAGGTGATGCTCACTTTGAGGCATATAGGCCACCTTGCTCACACATACAAAGCCTGCTGGGTCAGACCACAAACAGGACAGTAGCAAAGTCAACACTACCTTTTATTTTTGACAATGCTTGGTAAAAGATGCACAAGATATTTTATATTTTTCAAAACAAGGACCACATGTTCTGTAACAATGCTGATGATGTCCTCAATGTATTTTCTCAGGTGTTACATTGAGCAGGGTTTTTGTTGGATCAAAACCAGTTTTGTGGTTTTTTTGAACAGTAAATGAAATTCTTTGCCTTTCTGTTTTTTGTTTTCTGAAGTAGTTGTGATACTTAACCTTAGACTTTATGCCTTCTCTAAGTATTTTAGGGTAGATGTCTTCTACAATGGGAGTCTGGTCACAAAGTACTCAAGCTGTATTTGGGTCAAATGTGATTTCTACTGTTTAATAACTACAGTAGTGAGCAAAAATAGTGGAATCACCTTTTCTGTTTTCTACATAAAAAACATCAGGTTCTGCTAATAAACATTAAAATCCTATGTATACGTCCAGCTAGACCGTTAATTTGTAGGTCAGTAGCACAATGGGTACTGCCATCAGTTTTCTGCTTTTACTATGCATTTCTGAACATGGTGGGAGCCAGAAAACATCTCTGCTTTTTCACATTGTACATACTGCAGCAGGGTGCCTTAAGAGATTTGGGGAAAGAGGTCTTGGAGAGCAATGTTTCACTTATTGGCAGATATATGTATATCAATGCCAGAAATGAAACTTGGGCTGACAGAAAATAGTGCTGTATTTAATACATGCCCTACACATGCTATAGTATGTGAACAAAATCAATAGAATGACTAGCTGATTTTATCAGTCTCACGTATCAATAAAACAGGAGTACTGTAGCATTTTTTTTTTAAGTACATAAAATAAAATGTTATTCTTGCAAACATTTTGCTCAGGTATATTTAAACAGGAAACCTACGTCAGGCAAGGATTTTGTTTTCCACACCAGTCTGGACTAAATAAATCTTAGGTGAATTAATGGAGACTCTCCATCAATTCTTTATATGATTTTCATTTCTGTCCAGCCTTGGTCTACAGTCCCCTGTGGTACAGATATACAAAGAGAAGTGTACCAATGTTTATCTTGTGTACAAAAGACTAAAACTAGAACGTTATAATGTATAATTAATTATCCCCAAAGCTCTTTGGGTGGGATAATGAAATGGATTCTTCTTGTTTTTGTTCATAATCAAATATCTTTAGTGTTTTTGTAATTTATTGAAGATTTTATATATTGTTGCAGGGTTTTGGTCCTGTATGTGTGTTTTACTGTCTGTAACTCCTAACAGTAATGTTACTGCTTTGCTAGGGCTTGTAAATCTCAGTAGTATTAATTATAAACAAATAAACAAATAAATAAATAACACTTCACTGTCACTGTTTTAGTAAGGTCAAACTTTGCATTCAAAATGTACTGAATTCAACTCAAAATTGTGTTATGTGGGAATGTGTGTATCCACTAAATCAACCATGGTAAATCCAAATATCCATTTACTGTTGCTTTGGATAACAACTTCAATTTCACTTTAATTCAATTCAGTTTATTGTCCTTTCAGAAATTCTTTTTGTGTCTGTGGCAGCTCTCATTACACATTAGCACAACACAGATGAGCATACACACCCCAATACAAACATCACACACATCATACTAAACCATCATTCACAAGATTTGTTCAGCAAAAGGTCTCTGGACATGCATAGTCTGCAAAGCCAATACCTTGTACCCTAATGCTAATGGTCATAAATCAGATCCACTATGCAAAAGATGTGATATGCCCCTAGTTACTTCCCGGGCCTTCTGCAATGTTCAGAGCTCACAAAGTACTCTCATACTGTGATGCTACACTCTTACTATACATATTAGTAATCTTATTAAGTTTGATCTTAAAGACAGCGAGCAATACCAAGCATTAAAACAAAAGGTAATGGAAAGGAAATGGTAGCAAAGACCAATAAATGTCTATCCACATCAAACTGTCAAAGCTTATGCATGAATTATAATGACTGTAGCCCCTTCTTATAAATGGTATCTTTATTTTGAGTCCCATGATAGTTTTGCATTAATAACTGCCCCAAGATACAGTATTTGTATTCATTCACAACTTCAGTACAGTGCCCATTATCAGCTATTTCTTGGTGCCCTAATCTTCTTGTTCTAAAATCAAAGATACTTTCCTTGTGTTTTCTTATTATTAAGATGCAGAGAACTGGCCTGACACCAGTCAACAAACGTATCCACACTTCAACAGCACTTAATTTCATCTTCAGCGGTTAGAACAACAACCACAGTGTCATCAGTGAATTTAACATTAAAAACATGAGGTGAGCTACCCCTACATTAATCTGTATAAATAATAAACAAAACTGGAGAAATAGCTCTTCCCTGTGGAGCCCCAGTGTTGGTGCTATTAGGAGAATCATTCACTCCGACACACTATATTTTATCTGTCAAAAAGGACTCCACCCACCTTGCACATTATACCATATACTGTCATTGTTCAGTCTAATATATTGTAATAACAGGCTTGAAAAAGTGAATTATCATTATCTACTGCCAAGCGTGACATGGCCAGTGTTGGTTCTCTCCCCAGAGAGAGAATCATGCTTGTCTGAGCATTAGGGACAGACCCTTTTCTTCATATGGTGACTACCAGGCAAGATAGCTCATTAGACCACACAATAGAACACTAAACAGCTCTATGAGGTGCTCAGTCGAGCAGGCCTTGTGCCACCCAACTCACATTCTAGATGCTGGCCAACACTGTCAGTCCATTAATGGGATACAGCAACATGTTCAGTGATTAGGTCGGGTAATGGCGGGTGACTGCCTCTGGAGACTCAGCACAGTTTACTGGGGTACTGTCTATGGAGGACACTGACAACCCCTAATCCAGTGTTTACTGTGTATTCGCAGTGAAGACAGTGGTATGCACATGTACTTTCCCACATGAAGACAAGAGTTTGTCTCTCACTTGTCTCACATGAAGGTGGTGGTAGGGATTAGAGTGAGAGATGGTGATTCATTTCCTGGCTGTTGGCACAGCCACTCTGGATTCTCCCAGGGGAACTGCAAAGCCTGTATTATACTGGCGATGTTCACAGAACCCAGCTGCTAATGAAATAAGAGGTCCTCTGAGCTTGTACTCACTCTGCATTTCAGGAGACGGTTTTTTCAGGCAGAAATGTAGATTAGGATACCTCTACAGTACCTCACATTACTTTTACTTTTAGTGTCATTATAGTCAACAAAAACTGGCATTATAGTTTATTTTTAGTCAGTGACATTAGTCTCTTTTTTGCAAATTTTCACATATTTTAATTATTTCTAATATTTCAGAGGCTGAATAAATTCACTTGTTCAAACTAATTCTCTTCACTGTCTGGGTGTACCTTAACAGGAAAAGCTAAATGTTGGCTAGAGCAGTGCTATTTCTTTAGTGTGTTTCTTCCAAGAATGTCAGATGTTGCTGACGTATTAATAGCTGCAAAAGAAGCTTAATGCTTAAATCAACTTTTGAATAAGATATATTTTATGCAGCAATATTGTTTTAATAATTTTGAGTCAGGCTACTCCACAAATTAAGGAATGTTGTTGAATAAAAATCTGTATTAAAACAGTAATTACTTCATTTTCTGTTTGCCTGTCTTTCACATTATTGCTAATTTTTATTCACTGACAAAAATGTAACATTTATCATATTTTGTATTTTTAATTTTTATGTTATGTCTTGTGTTAATTTTGGAACAGC